TGACGACCTAATGTCGGGGGTTTGAATGGAGAGAAAATGTTTTGAGAAACGATGTACAAATGCGCTTTACACAGTTGATGTGTGTATGGATTGGGATGACAGTTGTATGAGCCCCTAATAAAATGTTAAAAAAAAAAAAAAATCATCCAACAACAGTCACAGCAGCACATGGACAGGGAACTGCCAGAAGGTCAGGCCAGACTCAAAAGAGGAAGTAGAACAAGGGATATCACTGGTTATGTCTGATGGTTCTTGGCTCAATTCTGAGAATACCAGAAGGATGTTTACTTGTGTTTCATCTACTATGCAAAGGCACCTGACTATGAGGACCATAATAAACTGTGGATAACCTTGATAAGAATGGGAATTCTGGAACATTTCATTGTACTCAATCAGAACTTGTGCATGCATCAAGAGGCAGTTGTGCAAACAGAACAAGGGTATACTACATGGTTTAAAATCAGGAAAGGTTAAAAAAAGATCAGGAACGGTGTGGGTGAGGGTTGTATGCTTGTTCCATTATGCTTGTTCACTCTATATGCCGAGCAAATCATCAAAGAAGCTGTATTATATGAAGAAAAGTGCAGCATCAGGATTGGCGGAAGGCTTATTAAGAACCTGCAATATGCAGATGACATACACATGCTTGCTGAAAGTGAAAAGGAATTGCAGAACTTAATGATGAAAATCAAGGATTGTAGCCTTCAGTATAAATTACAACTCAATGTAGGGAAGACCAAAATCCTCAAAACTGAACCAACAGGTATATGATAAAAGGAGAAAAGGTTGAAGTTGTCAAGGATTTTGTCTAACTTGGATCCACAATCAATGCTAATGGAAACAGCAGTCAAGAGATCAAAAGATGGATTGCATTAGGTAACTCTGCTGCAAGAGACCTCTTTAGAGTATTGAAAAACAAGAATATATCTTTGAGGACTAAGGTGCACCTGACCCAAGCCACGGTATTCTCTATTGCATCATATGCATGTGAAAGTTGGATATGGAATAAGGAAGATTGTAGAAGAATAGATGTATTTGAATCTTGATGCGGGAGAAGAACATTGAAAGCACCATGGTCTACTGAAAGGACAAATCTATCTGTATTGCAGTGGTTCTCAACCTGTGGGTCACGACCCCTTTGGGGGTCGAACAACCCTTCCACAGGGGTCGCCCGATTCATAATAGTAGCAAAATTACAGTTATGAAGTAGAAACAAAAATAATTTTATGGTTGGGGGTCACCCCAACATAAGGAACTGTACTAAAAGGTCTCGGCATTAGGAAGGTTGAGAACCACTGATGTATTGGAAGAATTAAGTCCAGAATGCTCCTTAGAGGCAAGGATGACAACACTTCATCACACATAC